GTAAGAACTTCAGTACCTATTTCACTGGCTCCAATAAATTTAATGCAGATGCTTTTTTAAATAAATAAATCAAATGCAACCCTGGCCAGGGGGGGGGGGGGGGTGGTCGCCCACCCCGCCCCCCCTGTATCCGCCCCTGACATGGACAGCCCATTACGATGTTGGCCCATGCTCCCCTACTCAGAGCCTACGTGGACCCAACGTAGTGAACTATCTGGGACCTTTTCAAGTGAATCCGAAACCGATCTTGATGCATGAAGAGTGCCATAGACGGGTGTTAGAGACCCCTGGAAAAGAGCAATCAAAAGGAAAAAGCAAGTGACTTGAGATGACCACCCACCCACCTCCCACCTCCAAAATTCGACAAAGCCCTAGCCATTCTGAATCTCAGAAGAACGTTTCAAACAAATTGTTGAGACAGGATTGCATAAAACTGACTTTAGCATAATGAAGCTGTAAACTTCCATTAGCACCGCTAAAGGAGGTTTAAGCCTCCTTTGCTACCGTTAAAGGAGGTTTAAAGCTTTATTTCGCTAAGGTCAGCTTTATGCAATTCACCCCCTGACTTTAACATGCAAATTCTCCAGAGATGATTAATGCAGAGTAATTTTTTATTTTAGCGTTCTTTCTTGTGAGCGTTCCTGACGTGTCAATACGTAGGTGTTGCTAAATTGACCCGACTCCAATTTATTTCCCACAGTGCCGGTGGGATCTGTAATGAAATACAAGATGATACAACAGGAAAAAATGTTATATTATAAAATGCAACACAGCTAGAGGTCGACTCACATTCAATCATTCACCCCGTCGACGGTAGGAACGGTTAGGAAAGTAGGATTCGGCAAGATGGCTAGCCAGAAGTGGTTCCGCCCGAGTGGAAAGTGAGGAAGATCACATCCGCATACATACGCACAAAACAAGAATGAGTCAGCAGTGCCTCCTGGAGGTCGACTTTTTTCTCGTCTGTCAGGAGGACGTCTCTTGGAAACAGGAGGTGTAAGAGAAGAGGTGGCTTGTATCTTTTGATGGACACCTCCGTCTCGATGCCCACACTCATCTCTCCAAGGCTCCTGGAACTTAGTTGGGAGGTCAACCAGGAGTACAGATTGCCATTGCGGTCATCCCGCAGAAGCGTAGAGCCTTCTTAGTATGTGACTTCTTTCCGTTGGAAGGTGACTGCAAGGACCGCTCGGGGAACTGCCAGATCCAACCACCCTGCGCCCTACTGGGTGCTGTACAGCGTAGTTTTTTTCATAGCTATCCATCATGGTTTTTTTTTGTTAGCTAACTGATATCACTTGTTATAAAATAATTTTCTACGCGGGTGATTGATACGGTGAGTGGGAGGGAATGCATCGTACGAAAGCTTTTACCCTCCTTCCCTCCAGGGAAGAGCGTCTGGGACACGGAATTAAGATTGAGAGAGGACTTTGTAAGTAGTAAGAGCAACAGAAGGTCCTTCGTGCAGGTCTACCCAGTAAAAAATGTTCGTTGGTTTATCGTCGGCCCATGGCTGGATCATTTTCGGCGAATGTCACTTCCTGGATTCTACTGAAATGAGTCCTTTGACCCTTTGACGCAATTCCCTATGGTTTCTCACATTGATCTCAGAGGAAGACAATTGAATTACTAGAAACATTTATCTGAAGATGTAACTTAGTCCTGGAAAAAAAAAAACAGGAAATTCTGGCCGGGAGGTCCGTGGGAGGATCCTTCTACTTTCCATTATAAGCTACGCGACTTTTTTTCGCTACTCAACTGTAAATACATGGAAAAGTCTCATTACGTGATCCTGGCCTCCTGCGAGAGGACAGATTCCCTTGCATTCTCATGTTATTCCGCTCCTGGATGCCTTAGCATCCAGAAGGAATGTTGTTTGGGATATTCTAATCTCTTGCCGATATGAGCGTACCCATGTCAGGTTCTCTGGTAAGGTACTGCTCCTTCATCTCTCCCAGATGATGAAGCAGTACCTTACCAGTCCAAAGGATCCATTTTTATCCCTCCAAGATGCATAATGCTGTTGATGTAATCGATGTGGTTTTTTTTTTTACTATATCTTTTCACAATTGTTAAAAGTCGGCTTATGGTTGGGGCATGTACGGTTCCCCAGCAATGAGCCAAAGTTGGCCCAATGAAGGGTCAACAGGACATGCCCGACCATAAGTCGGCTTAAACCAACCGTAAGCCAACCATATGCCAGTGATGGCTCAACTAAGGCTTATATACGCGTCGACAAAAAGCCATCGATGACCCTATGAACATGTTTTGATTGGGTTGCTCTGATGCAGCGACCCTTTCCCGATGTTGTATTGCTGAAGCAGAAACGGTGAGGAGGGAACCATAGGCGCCGACTTCTAAAAAAATATTGGGGGGGGGGGGGGGGGGGGGGGGGGGGTGGGGAGGGGGGGGG